TATCTAATGGTACCGGTGATGATGTATCGCGGTATCTATTATATACAGTTTACATCACCGTCGTTGCCCGCTGACGGAACCGACGAAAATGTAAACCGATATCTTAGTATCTTAGTACTAAGTAAACTATAGATTAATTTTTGTTCGAGGCTAAAATTTCAACAAGTTGCACAATAATAATAATAAAGAATGAAATGAATAATAAAAGAGAATGAAATGAATAATAATACAGAATGAAATAAATAATAAAAGAGAATGAAATGAATAATAATAAAGAACGAATTGCATAATCATAAAGAATGAAATTAATAATAATAAAGAACGAATTGCATAATCATAAAGAATGAAGTGAATAATAATAAAGAACGAATTGCATAATCATAAAGAATGAAATGAATAATAATAAAGAATGAATTGCACGATAACAAAGAATGAGATTAGTAATAATAAAGAACGAAATGAATAATAATAGTAAGGGATCGAATTAACGGAGAACGAAAATATAACAAAAATTCGAACATTAATTGCAAAAATTCCTCGACTTTGACGGGATTTCGTCGCTTTGGCCCACCGCGCGAGGTCGACAACGTGGGAAGCCAACGATCCTAGTTACACTGAGCCGAATGATCCATGGATCTTCGACGGCAATCAACATCCGCGTTCGGTCCAAGATCCAACAAGTGTGCCTCACGCGGATCGATCGGCGAACGATCGAGGAACGCGTGGGCGTCGCGCTCACGGCCGGCCGTCGTTTCCAAAACATCCGACGTTTTCACGTTCGAACACGTTCGCGGACGCGTGACTCGGGGACAGCTTTTGTGTTCGTATATTGAGAAATTTCAATGTGCTCGTTCGGACCATGAAATTAAGCCGCGTAATTAGAGCCGGCCGCGGTTAAAATTAAGCGACGATTGCGGCGGCGCGCTATTAAAAGATCAGAACAATTTTCGAGCGGACAATTGCCGACCTTCGAACCGTCGTAACATTCTCGATAAAAGTGGGAGGATGGTCTACGAAGGCTCGTTTCGAAGGGCGGAACCTCCACTATTCAACCGTGTATTGTTTTTGTCGGAAGCGTTTCTCGGTTCGTTGTAATCGATTTTACAAGGTCGAACGGTTGCGTTGCTGGTGATAACGCGCCGCTCCTCGGTCGGATCCGAATGAAAAACGCTGGACAGAAATCGCGCGGGAATGTTTCGATCCTCGATAGCCCGTTTCAAAGGTCAGGCTTTCTTTGACTAAATACGTCGAATTAGTGGCATCTTTTTTCAAGCGTTCTTCGGTTGCCGCCATTCACGAAACCATCCGTTCGATAATTGAACGCAAGAGTCGCCGTTACAGGACGAAATCGTTGACATTCGAATCAGCGTAAGTTCGTTAAAAAAGATCGTACGACGATCTACGCGAGCTCATTTCAACGGCCGAAGTTTCTGCTTCGTATCCCCGTGTCGCGTATTCGAAATACTTTCTTCGTTCTCTCGCAAAAAATTATTCAAGTCCGCAAGCACCTATGATCGACCATGATCCGACGCCTTTCGTTCGAACGGCGATAAAATGACGGGAAAAAATCGTACGTTGATTTTTTGACGGCCATTGTAAAGCGGAGAGTTCCGTCTGCAAGACAGTTACAGAAAAGATCGCGAGAAAAAATTTCGTCGACCATGTAGAATCGTTCGAAGTCGACCGTAATAGGGCCTCGCCGCTTCGGTTTCCCTCGTCGATCCTATTGTTCGTCGCGCGTGTCGCAACGTCGAGGAAATGGCCCCACAAAGTTGCGGAAAAGATATTAGAAACCTTCGAAACGGTACTTTGAACCGTGATAGAACGTCGTTATCCCATTGTAATTAAACGCGGTTGCGCAACTGGGACGGGGAACACATGTTACACGTTCCTGGGCTCACGTTCGCCGGTTCCGGCCACGATTATGGCAACATCTTTGCTCACCTTGATCACGGAGGATCAATGATCTTCCGTTCGATACGAACGCCCTCGAATCTTCAGAATCTCGACAAGTTGAACGTAAAAAATGCGAAACCGCAGGTCGATGTAAGAACGAATACAGTAATGTCTCCCTTACTGACGCTCAGATTGTCCACTAAAATGGCCTTGCGGCTCGTTTTTATAATTGTGGACAATTTATAACTATAAAAATAAACCGCAAGGCTCGAACAATCGTGTCTACTCTCCCCAGATTGTCCATTTTCGTGCGCAATCTGGGCGTCAATTAGAGAGACATTACTGTATTTCTTGATTTTATCGAGATCCGAATTTAATATATTATTATATATACATTTAATATCTAATGTCATATATTGTATGATATTATATTGTTATATATTATTATATAATAATTAATATAATATTGCAACATAATATTGGCCCAGGAGTAAAGTCTGACTACGATAAGTTCTCTCTAATTGACGCTCAGCTCGTACAGAAAATTGGACAATTTGGGGAGAGGAGATGCGATTGTTCGAGCCTTGCGGCTCGTTCTTATAATTGTAGATAATTTATAACTATAAAAGTAAACCACAAGGCTCTAACAATCGTATCTCCTCTTCCTCAATTGTCCCTTTTTGTGCACAATCTATGCGTCAATTAGAGAGACATTACTGTATTTCTTGATTTTATCGAGATCCGAATTTAATATATTATTATATATACATTTAATATCTAATGTCATATATTGTATGATATTATATTGTTATATATTATTATATAATAATTAATATAATATTGCAACATAATATTGGCCCAGGAGTAAAGTCTGACTACGATAAGTTCTCTCTAATTGACGCTCAGCTCGTACAGAAAATTGGACAATTTGGGGAGAGGAGATGCGATTGTTCGAGCCTTGCGGCTCGTTCTTATAATTGTAGATAATTTATAACTATAAAAGTAAACCACAAAGCTCTAACAATCGTATCTCCTCTTCCTCAATTGTCCCTTTTTGTGCGCAATCTGTGCGTCAATTAGAGAGACATTACTGTAGATCGTATATCTGGATGAATAATTAATCGAACGAATAATCATACGCGTTAAATGCAAGAGAAAAGAATCCAGCGATGCTGTGCCATGATTTTCGGCCGATCGAACATGTTCGGAATGAAAAATCATTGTTTTCTGGTGCGTCGCGATCGCGCTGGAAAATTTACATTTTGCACGAGGAGCCGCGGTCTAGTTGCAAATCGATGTGACTCCTGAACCCGTGGGAAACGATCGAACCCGATCTGATGGTCGTTCAAATCGGGCTCCATTGTCACATACTCGTGTCACGTAAGAAACGTCAGGGTAAACACCGTCGTCGTTGTTGTTGTGTGCTACAATTGTCGTCGGCTGCATCTATTTGTTTCGGCTCCGGCCGGTCAACGTAATCTTCGCTGGGAACTATGCGAAGCGGCCACGATTAACACACAAGTGATTTATTAAATGTTCCGTTTTTGTTCTTCCGTCGCGACCTATTAACTTTGTCTTGTGTTCTGCGCGCGTAACGTGTTTTTCCTTCCGATCGCCCGGAGTCGCATAAGAGCGGTTTATTTCCGACGTGGTGACCAATGAAAACTGCTACACCAGAAATAATGTGTGCACGCGCTGAGACCCGCATGCACGGCCGATCTATTGCGATGCGTCGCGACGGCTGCGAAAAAAAAGAGGAAAAAAACAGCAACAGGAAACAGAAGATCGACGGTCGATTAGCAAATGGGTTCGAGCGAAATTGCCCGGCGCGTTCTTATCTGGCTCGCGTTATCGTGGGGTTCAAATGGAATGGAATTGTGAGCCGACGACGAGCTCTCTCGCGGTTGTGCATCGAATGTTTCTAGAAATTAAGGAGACGTCGGAACCATCCGACGAACGAACCTAATGCCGGTCACGTGTATGCTCGTATACTTATCGCTTCGATGGCTGCTCGGCGGAATTACGGCGTGGAGAAATGCTGGATAAAAATTGGCCGACTTCGACCGACGGTGACTCCGCGAGAAACCGTCGCAGGACGATGACCATTTTTTTCGAATTGAAGCTTGAAATCTCGGCTTTAAGATGGTGTTTCTGGATTCGAATTTTGACGCACCCTCGCCGCTGTGACCCCTTAAATGCAAGGACCATTTTTCTAACAGTTTGCGCGAGACCGCGTTCGTCGCGTTGGACATGGTCGAATTTGACAGAATGCACGGACCTTGCAAAATTTTTTCCAGAGATGCCGTTTCCACAGAAGTAAAGTTCGATTCTTCCCCTTTAATTTAAGACGAATGGAACCCCGCTGCGATTTTTTCTCGCGAAGTTACAGCATTTGCAAGTAACCCTTCCATTCTCAGCCCGAGATCAGAGCTTGCATCGAAACGGGGTAACTTCGAAGTGCTGTAACTTCGCGAAAAAAAATCGCAGCTTCGTTCCCTTTCTCCCAAAATAAAGGTGAAGAATCGCCCTTCGTTCCGCCGTAAACGGCGTCTCCGAGAAAAATTTCCCGTGCATCTTATCGAGCTTCGAAATGACCGACGCAAGTCGCTTTGTCGTCGCAAGCTCCGATCTGTCGAAAATCCGCGAGCATCGCCGCGCAAAAACTCCCGAAGCTCCGTTGGACCACCGACGCAGCGACTGAAAGGGTGCTCGGTGAACATAAAGGGGTGCGCTCGGAGCACCCCGTCGCGTAAATCGGGCGGAACCGCGCTCTACATCCGGCAGGAACGCGTTGAACTTGGGATCGAGCGATCGCGACATGTCGCGCAAAGGTTGAACGCGAGCGGACGCGAAATCGTGGCCGGCAGAGAAAGAAAGAAAGAACGCTAGACAGATATAGTGTCGCGACCGCCGGTAGACCCAAACCCAAACACGTTCCGCCTGTTGGTTCTCGTTCGCAGGTGAGCGAAGGTGTGCGACGAGGAGCGGCGCGAGCGCGCGCGCGCACGAGCGCGAGCTCCCGCGTCGACGTCCGAAGGACCGACCGGCAAAAGGTAGGAGGGATGCGGTACCAATATGGCGGCTCGGTTAAAAGCAATCCACTTGGCAAAGCGCTGTCAGTCCGCGACTAGGCACGGCGGTAGCGTGTTCGTTCGTACACGAGTTCGAGACCGAGATCGGGGCGCCGCCGACAATAATATTAATAATAATAGCAACAACGATAATAATATTAATAATAATCGTGGTCGTCGAGGTCAACAGCGGCGAGGTTCGAAGAGACGTCGCTTCCGCTCGAGTTGTTCCGCGGACCCGGATCGCCGAGGCCGGATCGAAGACGAAGATCGTCGCCGCCTGTGATCGATAGATCCGCTCGCGATCAGACAGACCGTCGTGCCATCTCGCGCTCTCTCTCTCTCGACGATCGCGTTCCCGAGAATTTCGGAATTTCTTCTTCTCGAGATTGCTTCGAGGTGATCGATCCGCGTCGCGTCGCCCGATTTCCGCGGATCGACTCGACGATCGTCGTCGCGCGCGCAGATACGATCGATCAAAGGATCCCGGAGATCGTCCCCTGGATCGAGAGTGATTCGACGAGACTGGTCCTGGTCCAGAGAGTGTGTGTTCGATTTCGGAGCCGATTTTACGCGCCACAGATCCTCCAGGCTTGTTGCCGTTGTCGTCGTTGCCGTCTCGTTGCTGTTGCCGATCCAGCCGAGCACTACTCCTCGGTAAGTGAAGAAAGTCGAGTTGCCCGTCGACCGCAGCAGACTCCCGATTAGAAACACCGCAGACTTTGTTTCTCGCTACTGACGTAACCAGACGACCGTCACGCGGAAACGAGACCCGTGTGCACGCCTCTCGACTACTATCGCGGCTCGCTGATCGCGCGACTCCCGCTGATCGCGGCTCGCACGCTCTCAATGAAACCGGAGAGACACACACGCCGACGCTCATTGATTTTCCCTTGCATTTTATCGTCACGTTTTACGACCGCGTTTCCGGCTTCACGGCCGAACCACCGTTTCCTCCTGGTTCTTTCTTTCCTTTTTCTTTTTTCTTCTTTTTTTCTCTCGCCGCGCGACGCATTCTGGCGAACGTCGCGACGCTCTTTCTGGCCCGCTTCGCGGATCTACGCTGCGATTTCGACGGGTTTTTCATGCGACACGATGCTACGTTGGTTTTAGTAATACCTCGGGCGAATGCGCGAGATTTTGGTGGATGTGCTGATGGATTTTTCGGGGCATCCTTCATCGGGAATTTTTGTTTAGGCGATTTTTTTCTAGGAATTTCGGTGAATTTGTCGCGAGTCAAATGGTGCGCGTTTAAGCGATTCTTCGTGGAGATTGGGACAGTTTTTTGGGACGAGGGGATGGATCGTTTGAAGCCATTTCCTCGCGCGAATTGCGAAATCGTGTGTGAATTGGATGGTAGGGTTGTTCGAGAGATTTTTCATGGGAATTTCGGTGAATTTGTCGCGAGTTATAAATGCTGCTCGTTTAAGAGCGATTTTTCGAGGAGATTGGGACATTTTTTGGGACGAGGGGATGGCTCGTTTGAAGCCATTTTCTCGCGCGAATTGCGAAATTGTGTGTGAATTCGTTGGTAGGGCCGTTCGAGAGAATTTTCATAGAAATTTCGATGAATCTGTCGCAGGTCAAATGGTGCTTCGTTTAAGCGATTTTTCGTTGAGATCGGGACAGATTTTGGGACGAGGGGATGGATCGTTCGAAACCATTTTCTCGCGCGAATTACGAAATCGTAGAGTTCACACAGGCCCCACGAAGTCGAGTAAAAGTCGGTTCTTCGGTTCTTGTCTTCGACGATGGTGGGCCCATTCGTGAATCGATTGTTCGTTTCTGTTTACAAGCCGAGGAGAATTTACAAATCGGCGAGAATTCACTGCAAACGATTCAGATAATTAAACAAATAACTGTATACACACCGTAGAAATCGAGTCGGAGAGTTCACACAGGCCCCACGAAATCGAGTAAAAGTCGGTTCTTCGGATCTTGTCTTTGACGATGGTAGGCCCATTCGTGAATCGATTGTTCGTTTCTGTTTACAAGCCGAGGAGAATTTACAAATCGGTGAGAATTCACTACAAACGATTCAGATAATTAAACAAATAACTGTATACACACCGTAGAAATCGAGTCGGAGTGTTCACACGGGCCCCACGAAATCGAGTAAAAGTCGGTTCTTCGGTTCTCCGTCTTTGACGGTGGTGGGCCCATTCGTGAATCACCCGAGATCTCCTCGATCAGCCGATTTAAGGTTCGGTTCACGTCCGACTTGCTCGTACGGGTGCCGTGTTTCGTCTTCTTCTCTGTCGTCGACACAGTTTCCGGTATCGTGGTCGATTCGATTCGTTTCGTTTCGTTTCGTAAATTCGACGGCACCCGTTCTGCGTTCCCCATCCTCGTTTTCTCGGTTCAGGGAAACGTTCCTCGCTCGGAGGAACGGCTCCGTCGCTCGTTCACGCATTCGTATTCACCCAGCATCGGGAAAACAATGTGTAGGCCCGCCGTGCACCGTACAAGGAACGCCGACCGTTTCGGGAACCCGACTGTTTTCGGCGAAGCCGATTTGCATCGCGTTCGCTTCTTTATTTCGTTTCGAAACGAACGAACGGCTCTCGAGCTCTCCGATCGTAATAACCCGTTTTTGCTCGTTTTCGGCAGCGGTTGCCGAATGATCCGGTGACTGGACTTTTTTTTTACCGTTTAGTAGACTGTAATCATCGGTTCCGCAATCGTGGAATAGTTCGAGATTTTATTTCCAGCTCGTTCGAATTATTCAAACTATTCTTTTGCTTGTAGAAGAGCGAAATTTCACGATCAGATACGTTGAAAAATATTTGTTCAACCCTTTGCACTCGAGTGATAACTCTGAGACACCATTAAAAAATTGTTACATCACTTTCCAAGATAATTTTTATATTATATAATAGTTCAGATGTAAAAGATTGTTGAAAGTCTAATTGTTGTACGAGTCACGAGAATCAATTTCATGTGCATAAAATGCACTTTGTCAGATAAAATGGAGATATCGTAAGTCGGAAGAATTCATTTAGATTGACAGTTAATAGGCCAGCGGTCGATAAACATTGGCAATCGAAAAGCCGATTAATAGGCCAGCGATCGATAAGCATTGGCAATCGAAAAGCCGATTAACAGGCTAGCGGACGATAAAGTGTTAAAATGGCTTCGAGTGCAAAGGGTTAAACAAGAACGCAATTTCGAGATTCGTTTCAGCATCTGTTATCCTCCGAAGTTATTCGCGCGATCGACGGTAAATCGGTGAAATCGATCAACGAAAAGTCCAGCAATGTCTCCCTGATCGACGCTCAGATCGACCACAGAAATGGACAATTTAGGGAGAAGGGAGACGATTATATATATTATTGTACAGTAACGTAATAATAATTAGTATTGCAGTAATAATATGTTACTGCACAGTAATGTCTCCCTAACCGACGTTGAGATCGTGCAGAAAAATGGACAATTTGGGAACAGGAGATACGATTGCTCCAGCTTTGCGCCATGTTTTTGTAATCGTTGACGATCGGTAACTATAAAAACGAGTCGCAAGGCTCGAATTCGCAAGGCTCCACTTCCAAAATTGTTTTCGCGTCAATCGATCAACAATCTGAGCGTCAATTAGGGAGACATTGCTGTAACGGAAAGCAACGAAAAGCTGAAATTCGTAGGTCTTTTCTTTTCCTTTTTATCTTAGTGTGGCGGACCAGACATAAAAAGACACGTCCTTCAAAAGCGGGGTGTACATATGCCTTTTTCGGGTTGTCCCGACGCAAGGCGTACACACCCCAATAAAACAATAAAAACGTTGGGACACAGCTTCGGACCATAGGTCCCGGATCACCCCGGTCGGAAAATCTTCGGGAAAGGCCTTCGCCCTTCCCAAGGACTTTCCCTTACCAATAAATACGAGGACCTCTCGACCGAGAAGTCAGTTAGCAAGTTCTCCTCCGACTGTCAACGTGTCCATATTTCTGTACCATCCGTCACTCGTTTACCTTTGCCTTCTACACACTGTACCTCATCGCCTTTTGTTACAAGTTATATTAAAGTTCTCGTTATATAAAAACCAAACAAACTCTCGGATTATTTTATATAAACCGTCGCAGTAACCTCTGCGACAAATTAGCTTCTAACCTTGAACTATTGTACGCCGAATCGGTTGCCCGTTGTTTCGCCGAACCGCGGTTTTGTTTATTGCCAGCCGCGACACGTATTGCGATCTCCGCAAATTTCGCAATAATTAAACGCGGGCTCGTCGCCGGGGAAGAAGAATTCGTTTAACGACGTCGCGGAATCGTTTCAACGAAATGTCGTTTCCGCCCGCGGACGCGAGCGGCGGTGTTCTGTAACTTCGCAAGGTTAACAAGCTCTCTTGGTTATTGCGAAATTCGAACTAGCGTGTGAAGTGTCCTCTTCGAGATGCATCACGCGATTAGGTGTATCCGAAGGTGAGAGAGCGTCTTTGAAGTTTCGCGCGACGAAAGTGTCCACTCGCAGCAATTGATTACCGGACGAGGATGCTCGCGCGGATGTCCGCGCAAAAATGTCTAGATTTTGCTGTAGTTCGCTGGAAAACTGTTTCCGCGAGAACGTCTACACGGAAATGTCTGCGTAAAAATAGCTACGTAAACGATGCTTGCGCAAAATTGATTGCGCAAAAATGTCTACGCGAAGATGTCTACAGAAAAATGTTTGCGCAAAAATGTTTATGCAAAAGTATCTACACACGAGACTGTCTACACAAAAATATCTGCACAAAAATGTCTAGGTAATAAAAATGTTTACACGGAAAGGACGTCTACATAAAGATGTCTACGCGAAAGTATCTATACAAAAATGTCTAGATAATGAAAATGTTTACAGAAAAATACCTACGCGAGAACGTCTACGCAAAAATACGTAATTATTTACGCAAGACTATAGATATTAAAACACTGCAAGATATAAAAGTCCATAAGAATGTCTCGTTGGAAAACCTTGAAAAAATAAATATACAACACCGTTGAAAAATTAATACCTCGCCCTTGAATAAATGGACGCCTAAAACAACGTTCTAGAAAAAAGATTTCTCCGTACAAATGTTCGAAAACGAAGCGAGAATCTCGACGATTTTCTTAACAAAGATCTAGATCGTTAGAGCATCCGAAGCACGACGTTCCGCGCAAATTTGTCAATTTGTAAATTTGTTAAATCGTTAATAAGTGAACGAAGCATCGTCGAACATTTTCGCGAAGGAAATTGTTGCTTCGAATGACCTCAAGAACGTCTCGTTTTTCCCCGCTTGTACAATAATTATATTATATATTATATTATATTATAACAGTAAAACAAATATTATATAAGTAGTATATATATATATACTACTTATATAATATTTGNGGCCAAAAAATACCCAAAAATCTCTACTGTTATAGTATTTGTTATACTTACTATATATATATATGTATTGAACCGTACAGCGTGTTTGAAAATTATTGTACAAGCGGGGAAANATATTTGTCTAACGTCATCAGGAGAACCGTAAAAGAAACAATCGGACGCCGTCATTATTTTCATCGATTCGATAGTTCGTTTTTAGTGCGGAGATCCATCGAGATTTCCAGGAGATTCTCGTGCGGCGGTCGATTGTCGATTCGATCCTCGAAGCAAGTCGTCCTTCGCGGGCCCGTGGAACGATCCATAAGGCC